TCGATGGTTTTTTCGTACATCTTTAATACTATTAATAATAAGTTGAAATCAATGTACAATTTCATGCACATCAAAGTGGTTTTGATAAAAACACCACAACTTTATCATCTAATTTCTTCAGTCATTTTCTGAAAGAACTACAATGGAGTTTTTATAATCACAAGTCGTTGAACGAGTCAAACTGAACATCATTTGAGTGAACGAAATGAAGAGGAGACACGAAACATTCATATCAGTAAAATGGCTAAAAATTGTGGCTTGACTGGCTTGCACGAATATTCGAGTAGAAAAAGTAAGAAAAGCTGTTTAATTCATAGAAAATTGCATTAAAGTAATACAATGCAGAAATTAGCTGCTGAATCATTCAAATGTAGTCAGTTCAAAGACCTCTAACGAACAAATGCACTTGAAACGAATATAACAATTTCCAAGTGCATTCCCAATGAAGGGAGGAAGAGCCAGAAGCATTGAACGAGCAGGCAGGCACGGGCTGACGACTGCACTTGATTGAGCCCTTGGGCTTTGAGGAAGATGAGACCAGTGGCAGTGTTGTCCGTGACGAAGGCGGAACTGTGGAAAAAAAAGATAATGAAACGCGATAATGACATAGTTAAACGATTCAGTAAGACGGCGACTGCACAGATTGTGAATTGACATCGTCGTCGAAATCTGTTCAAAAGACCAATGAGAGTCGGCAACGAGAGCAAACCGTACGAGATTCGAAGTGATGTTTTGTGAGGGTGTAAATCTAGAGGGGGCGATGTCGATTGTACTGATGACTCTCACAACACAAATATTCATTTCATTGCGCCCAAAATATTTCGGAAAGCTGTGCTCGCAGATCAGAGTTGTATTTCAGTTTGTGACTGTTAAAATGCGATTCCGAAGCAGCTCATTAGCAGCGTTTCTTTAGTACTGTTTCACTTGATAATACTGAACTGATAACAAATATACGTGACTTCACTTGCTATTGGAACATCAACATTATGGCGTTTGTATTGATCAAATTCGTTGTTCCCATATAAAATGGTGTTTTATGCCATAAAACTGTCGCTATTATAACATGAACAAATCAGCTCGAAAATATTTTGATCTGATTGGATGAACGGATTGAGGTAATTAACACATATAGACGAATTGTAAAAATACAGCAAACAGAGCCGTTATCACTGATTTTTATTTCAAACTTCTGTTAGACTTATTGCTAGCAATTCAAAAAAATGTTTCACGATACATTCTGACATTTGAGCTCATATGCGAAATGCGATTCGTTGAGATAATTAGCATAACATCGTATCATTTCCAAATGAAAATTTACCTAATTATGCGAAATCAAATATGAACATTTGGAATATAATTTCAGACGTCAATTCAAATGTTAGTTCAGTCGGTGAATTGATAGGTCGGCAGGGATCTCGACAACGAATAGTAAACATGCGAACTGATAGTTTTGTATCTGTTTCCNCAGTCTTTGGATGATTAAACCATATAATGCATAATCTTCATTAAACCATATAATGCATAATTAAACCATAATTAAACCATATTAAACCATATAATGCATTATTAAACCATTCAAAACCATATAATCTTCGCGTATATTACGATTTAATTTCAGAAATTACAATGATCACAGTGAACAATAGAGTGCAGTCAGTACTAATTGTATTAACTGTGTTACTCTCGGTCAGTTTCTTCGCAATATCAACATCTGTTTCACCCATATAACAGGACTGCTATATTCACTGATGATTCAGATCTTACAAAATGCGCACTTTCCCTAATAATTCATCAATCAATCATTTTCCACCGAGAACAGGGAATTCAGAGAACATATGTGACTACGTGATCATAATCAAAGAGCGTGATTACATCAAAGGCGAAGCATTGTAAGGGATGATCTGGGTTAATCAGCTCCATAAAGCCACCGCCTAAGAATCACATAAACTGTCTGGATTAGTTAGGATGGCAAATACCGCTCCAGGCCATAATGCACTTCAGTTTCATCCTCAGTGCTACCTCGCGTTCTCATGTTATCCCAAATTCTATTTCATCAATTCATTCTCTCTTCAAGCTCGTGATCCTCTTTACCACCCGGATGTCATTTCATAACTACGCATACTATTGCTTCTTGTTATGTGACCGCCTAGTATGATTTATGCTTTCGCTACTCTATGATCACTGCAAACATTCGTTCGATAAGTGATGTGTTGTTTTCAGGGAAGTGTCATCCGATTGGTAGAAACAGCAATATTTGCTAGTAGAATAAAATTACCGGATGAAGTCAAGCGAATGAATGGAATGATTGTGGGTGAAGAAAAACAAGATGAGACAGGGTTGATAGATGATAGTGAAAGGAATGCAGAGAATGATCGAGAAAAAGAAGCTAATGTACGATTGCGAAGAAACGGGAAGCAACTGATGGACTCGTCCAATTTCACGAGCCACTATCGACTGGCAAATCACCGACGACGATTGAGCTCATCTCAAAAGGAGCATTCAAGTGGCCAGAAAGCACTGACTGCAGAATACTACAAGTGTGAGTGTAATTTCGAATCTGACGATGAAGTAGTAAGCATCGCCGGGCGTGTGCAAGGGCATTATGGCAGAATTGTCATTCACGACCTGCACTCTCTTTTACCTGATATTGTTTGCGTGTGTGACATTCATTAACGACTCCCAGATGAGAATCGAATTGTGAACAAACCATATCAATCATAATCGCCACCGAAATAACTAATAAGAAGTGCTTTCACTGCTCGGATATTAAGTATCCTCATACCATGTAGCAGCAATATTTATCTCGTTGATCTTACCAACATGCTGTTATTTTTACGAGAATTTCGTGAATTTTTGTTGTTATTTTTGACAGTAAACAAAAATTATTGGCATATTGGTGCGAAGAGATTTTTTCTGCATGAAATATAATATTTTCATGAAATGACATAAAAACGTTTGAACGTTTACGCATTACTGATGGATAACAGGTGCAATTCCAGTCAACTAATGGTAATAATGCGAAAACCTAAAGCCATTGAGGAATATCTTCGGAGAGCATTTATTGGAATAACCCTTCTGCCTTGCACGCGTCACCGTTTTTTCAAGTCATAATCTCCTTTTCATACCATTATTTCACGATATCCATTCATCGATTATTCTTAAACATCTGCACACTTGTTGATGTTTGTGGTGTGTACCATGTCAAAATTGCTCTTAATACTGTGAATGCATCCATCGAAAATTTCACTGCAACACTGGGAACGCTGGAATTCTAGTATAAGCCAATTGAAATACTTTTCGATGTCATTAGCTGAGCTTAAAAGAAATTAAAGGTTTCATTTTCTTCTCGTGTGCAATCGAATCGACTGCGTGTAGAAATCTCCTTTAAGCATCTCATCTTCTGCGGTTGTTTTCAAGCATACTCCCCACAGATCAATGGCTCTTACAGTTTTCCGCACACACATTTATATCGCATGTGAGTACGAACAATGTTTTAGTGCGAACTGCATAAGTCGATAACAGTGGGCCTCAGAAATCATTGATTGTGAGTGCAAGCCTCAAAGGCATTCTCATCCTTAAGTATGTATATCTCACAAAACCCAAAACTTTCGCGCTTTACTGGAAATACATGAAGGATGTACAGTGAAAATGTGATGGAAAAACAACGTAAAAAATTCATATTCTCAGATGTATCATAGTGATAATAAAAATGAAACGATAGTAATCATCATCATCACAAAAACAATCTTTAAAACGTAGAGTAATCAGTCAAGAAGAGATCGTTGAAATGTATTAAACCGATTCGAAAGATCTCTAGCAACAAATCAGAAACGAAAAAAATTCATGAACGAAACTGACCAATCAAATTCAGACGGGTACACCTACAGAGCAATCCTTACGGCGCTCTGAACAGAATCAATTAAAATCACGGCAGATCTCATATTGGCTATTCACTTCAGTTTACCTCAGTTGATCAAATTTTCACTCCAACGTCAAATATTCACAAACAAACGATATATTCCTATTGACAGCAATGAAAATACCTATGGACTAATGTGTTTGGGGAAATTTCTCAAACAAGATCGCCTATTATATTCAATAACGGGTCATTATTTGAAAAAATAAAATGTTCTTAGTGAAAAAGAGATTAAATTTCATAATGCGTGAGAAATAGAGAACATGATTTGGAGCAACTGAACGAACTAACAGCGAATAAACAGTATAAGAATAGGAAAATGATAGAACGTTCAAGAGATGAACAAATAAGCACACATTACTGAATAAATATAAGTTAATAAGTAACTGAACGAATGCAAAGTTTGCTATGTACAAACTGATGGATACGATTGAACTAGTGAGTGCATAGTGCAAAACAAATAAAATAATACACTATCGGATGAACAGATTATGAGTCGAACTGAATTTGTCAGTTGAGAATGGAACGACTGCCACTGAATAGCATTGAATTGAAATATCAATTTGATAAAAATAGTGGTGGCATCATCGCGATGAACGACTGGAAAATTAAACGTTCTAATGATCACTTCTGACGTTTTGCTGAACCCTTCGACGAAGCTGACTCAGCTTTGCGTTTTTGTGCACTCTGAAAGATCGATTCCGGAATTTGAAAGGAAAAGGAACATTGTTAAAAGATATGAAATTAATGATAATTGGATGCATTATGGGAGCCCCCATTTTCGAAATGATTATGTCTCAAAATTATGCATTGCAAAGATTTTTGTTACAAATTTAAGCCATTTCCGACTAATAATACGACAGCATTCAACTGAAAACAACACGTTTTTTTCGGCAGGAGTCAATGAACTCATTCAACGATGGATAAATATTGAGAACAGAAAACAAAATGCCGTTCCAGCGAACTATTTTTCGATATCAAACTGTCCCATTGCACATTGAAAAATCTAATCGCCAATTCTTGAGAAAACAAATGCAATCCGTTCAATAAATACACTTACAAGATCTATCGTCAAATAAACGGAATGAAAAAAAAACTGAAACAAACAAAAGAAATTTTGAAAGAAAAGCAGAAAAATAGACGATGAAATGAACCTTCGATGTAGACGATGTTTTGCTGGTGTCATTCTCTTTGGCGTTTGTGGCTTGAGCCGATGCTGGGGTGGTGGTCGACTTCGGTCCTCGTTTACTTTTCACATTCTCCACTTCACCCATCTCCTTTTCGATCAACGATATCAGCGTATTGCAACGACGTTGTAATTCCTTGAAAATTCACTCGTCAAACATCTAATAATCTAATCATCGAATCATGAAAAGATCACACATTTCGTTTAATAAAAATCTATATAACATATAGAAGAAAGAATCATCACATTCAGTCCCATAGCAAAAAATTACGATTCAATTAAAAGTGTTGATTTAACTGAAACCACTGAACTATATCTGAANCTGCTCTAACGGCTTGACGCAGTTCATCGTAGACATTATCTTTATCAAAACCCAGTTTATGCAGCTGACAGACCATAAATCTGAAATATCGTTAACAACTCATTGATCACTCTTACCAAAACTATACTTTATCTCCACACTCCTCCAATCAAGTTTTCAAAGCAGATCAACTCCGAACACATTGTGAATTTTGAACAACTTCATTCATCTCTTTCTTATCTCATTACCAGTTACGGCCATTCTCGCAAAGCCGTGCATGCTAACAAGATATAATTTTCCGCATAACCAAATTTTATGCTGACGAAACTAATTCCATTTCAAATTTCATGAAGTAATGAAACGATGACAATAACACAAAAACAAAATAAATACCGATCCTCCTCTTCCGTGTAATTCTTTCCTTTATTGGTACCGTACTGAATACGTAACTGATGAAATGGCGCTTTATATTTGGCAATCTTCTCGTCGAGTGCTTTCTTTATACTTTGACGACGCTGAATACGCGCTTCACCCTAAACATTCACTATTCCTTATTGAACACATTCTCAACAAAATATCCAAAACTCTATGATGACTCCTATCCGAACAGTACCTCGTATAAAATGCCACATACACTCAAGGTTGTGAACAAAAGAATTTTCAAAAAAAGAAATTATCTGCGCGCATGTACAGAAGCAGTTGAACCACATTTTCTCTTTCATCAAAAATATATTAATATAATAAGCAATTAATCATCGAAAATATAAATAATGTGATTAGTTCAAGAGAAGAAGCAAACAAGACAGTTTGCAATCGCAAACTGAGAT